ACTTCCTGCTATTTGTGGGTGATGATATCTTTAGGGGATCCTGAAATGAGAATTTTGGTTAATTGTCAAGCTATATCATTTGTTGTCCAGTCTCTGTATAATGGGCATGTACAAGGATTGTTTCAAATGCTGGCTAAAGTAGTCTATGAGGGTGTATCACCTTAGCTTGCCACCTCAAAATTGTTCCAAGCAGTGTATGTAAGGCTGCATCATCTCAGCAAGTCACCTCAAAATTGTTATGAGCAGTTTTTAGTCCAAAGCTGATCTTTAGTTGGTGTTGTTCAGCATAATGGTGTTGTGATAGTCCTGGTGGAATTGTCCTTGCGGTGCTCCATCCTCATTTTGGAGACTTCAAAGGTCGCTGTTTGGCATGGTTATGATTCACTGTAGAAAACTGATAGAGACTCAAAAGTGAAATCATATACATGAAGGTGGACAAAACACCTTTTCTAGAATTGGTTGGTACTCTATATGACCATTAATATAATGAAAAAATTATGAGATTAGTAGCAATAATGTAGTCCTAAATATTTGTTTTCCTTCTGTTCCATATCAGATAGCTCTTCTGTCATGAGACAGAGACTATATATTATACTTAAACAAACATGCTTGGGTTTAGAGAAGGAGAGAGCCATTCTCCAACTCCAAAGCCAGCTTTTAATCTTTAATTGCACTGAGACTACAAAAAGACCAATCATATTATATGTCTGTATAGAAATAAGAAACAAACATTTGGGAATAGTTAGGAAATTTTACCCTGTTGTAAATGTGCTATATCAATAGGCCAATTTACTCTTTTTCATGGGACATTTTTTCCCAAAGAGAATTTTAATAGTTTCAACTATTGATAATTGTACTTTAGGGTACAGTATGATACTCTAGTCCATATAAGCAATTATTATAATCACATCAGCACAGTTGACATACTCATCACCCAAAGCGTGTGCCATTTCTTTGTGTTGGTAACATCCAAACTCCTATCTACAAACTATTTTAAAAGCATTTTTAAATACATTTGCTTTTACTTTATTGAAAATACATGTTTTTCATACAATGTATCCATACTCATTGTGTAGCTGAGGCTTCAGTTCTTGAGTGGTGGTTTACAGGCATGCACCATCACACAAGCATCCCATGAACCACCATGCCAGCATCTCATATACCACCATTCCAGCATCCTGTGTACCGCTATGCCATCATCACATGCACCACTATGCCGTCATGGGACAATTTTCCTAGATGTTTTGTCCCTTTTCTCTGGATGTCTCATTTGTCCAGTGGTCTCTTGATTCCTTACCTAGATACTTTTTATTTTCCTGGGAAGACAAAAAAATTAAAACTTTTCCCCAACCCTAAATTTCAGGGAAGTTCTCCTTGGCAAATTATATCTTTTCAAATGAAAATCATTTGTCAGTATTATAGGTTAGTTTAGATTAAACAGCCAGGCTGCTTGAAGAACTATCATCTCTTCTAGTTAAGAGGTGTCTTGTTCAAAACAAATCTTAATCAATGTTGATGGTATCCATATTTTTTCTTCACCTGTAGAAACAACAGCAAAACCTCTTCCCCAATGCAACACATGTCCCAATTTCCATTCAGAGGTCAACACATCTTTGAAATACACTGGCTGGTTTAATTCTGTAGTTTTCTCTATTATTCAATGTCTCTCTGCAGCTGTTGTTCCTTTCTCATTTGCATTCAGAAAATTCAAAGTTGATAAAGCACTATGCAATGTATTTTGTTATCCCTTCCTGTTTCTTTAGCATATCCTTTAGAGTTCTATTTGATCTTTCTATAACTCCCTGCCCTGTAGGATTATGTGGTATGCCCATAATATACTTGATATTATAATAAGCAAAAATCTGTTTCATTTTCTTAGAGACATATGCTGGAGAATTGTCTGTTTTTATTTGTTCAGGTATACCCATGATGGCTATAACTTCTAGCAAATGTATAATTACCAAATCAGCCTTTTCTGAACTCAAAGCAGTTGCCCATTGAAAACCCGAATATGTGGCAATGGTGTGGTGTACATATTTTAATTTTCCAAATTCTACAAAATGGAACACATCCATCTGCCAGATTTCATTTCTTTGTGTACCCTTAGGGTTACTTCCTGCAGGTAGTGGAATTGGTTGTATAAAGAACAAGTAGGACATTTCCTTATAATTTCCTTGGCTGTTGCCAAGTGATGGAAAAGTCTTTCTTCAAATCTTTGCTATTGACATGGTGTTTTTCATGAAATTCTGATGCCTTTAGCACATTTCCTATTAATAGTTGATCTATCTCCTTGTGCTAGAGGGCCTGGCAGATCCATATGGGATTGGATGTGTGTTATATATAAGGGATGATTTCTGTTCCTGATTATGTCTTATAACTGAATAAATAATAAAGTCAATTACATATGGTCTGGTATAAATTCAGCAGTTTCAATATGTAAAGCAACTCTTACTGCATATTGTGAATCAATAACTATGTTGAGAGGTTCTTTATGATCCATTAATACCAAGAGAATAGCATATAATTCTGACTTTTGGACAGAATTATAAGGACTTAGATCCACTTTACTTAAATTTTCTGATTCATAACCTGCCTTTCCTGATGTATTTGCATCAGTAAAGAAATTAGGGGCTCCGGTTATTGGTGTTTCCCTTACAATGCAAGGAAGGATCCAGTTAGTCCTCTTTATAAGTTGAATTCTCTTGCTTTTGGGATAATTGTTGTTGACATCTCCCAAAAAAATTATACAAGCTCTTTACCAGGGTTTATTTTCTACCCGTAGTTTTTCAATTTCATCCTTAGTAAAAGGTACTACAATTTCTACCATATCTATTCCTGCTAATTGACAAAGTCTTGATTTTCCATTTAGAATTAATTCAGAGATCTTTTCCACATAAGTTTTTTAATTTCTTACTTGGTTAATGTGGTAAAAGATCCATTCTAAGATAATATCCTCCCTCTGCATTAAAATTCCTGTAGTCAGGATGCTTAGAGGGTAATATGACTAGAATGCACTTAAGCTTTGGATCTACATGATCCACATGTGCCATCTGTAATTTGCCTTCCACCAATGCCAATTCTTTCTCAGCATCATTAGCAGCACCAGCTGTTAACTCCCTGGGACGATTTAAGTCCTTGACTCCATCTAAAGTTTTGTTTAAATGAATCAGTTGATCAGGTTTTATCCAATAATGTGCTGTAGATGGGAAATGTCTCCTAGCAATCTCTAAAAGGCCTTAAGAGTCTGCAATCAATCTCTCCTAATCTGTACCTTTTGGGGTCTAATTATTTGTAAACTTATTTTATAGCCTAAATAATTAATAGAATCTCCTCTTTGTATTTTTTTCAGGAGCAATTTGTAATTCCCAGCAAGGCAAAATTTTCTTTACTTCTTCAAACATTCTTTCTAAATTATTGATATTTGAATCAGATAATAAAATGTCATCCATGTGATGGTAAATTATAGATTGAGTAAATTGCTTATGTATTAATTCCAATGGCTGCTATACAAAATATTGGCACAAGGTAGGACTATTTAACATTCCCTGTGGAAGGACCTTCCACTGATAACTTTTAGTAAGCTGTGAATTGTTGTAAGTAGGCACAGTGTAGGCAAATTATTCCCTATCTTTTTCTTGTAAAGGTATAGTAAAGAAATAGTCTTTTAAGTCAATAACTATAATAGGCCAATCTTTAGGTAATAAAGAAGGCAATGGCATTCCAGGCTGTAGAGAGCCTATTGGCTGAATTATTTTTAGTGCCTCTCAGGTCTGTAAACATTCTCCATTTTCCTTATCTCATTTTAATAACTAATACAGAAGAATTCCAAGGGCTGGTAGTTCTTCAATACGTCCAGCATTTAGCTGTTCCTGAAACAGCTGTTCTAGAGCCTCTAGCTTCTCTGAGTTCATAGGCCATTGCCCCACCCAGACAGGATTGTCGTTTAACCATTTTAAGGGTAGGTCTTTTGGTCCCTCTGAGTTCAGCATTTGCTTCATTCTGTTTTTTTACAGCCTCGATGGTCTGTGTCTGTTTTATATATTGCCTTATAACACTTTTTCCATACACATGAGTTGGTTTATGGTTCATTTATGATACTGGGGAATGTTAATTTGGGTATTAAATTATTACAACAGATCATGGCCCTCAAAGATTTACTGTTATGTTAGCCAAATATGGGCTCAGCCTTCCTTTTTGTCCTTCTGGACCTGTACATTCAACCCCCCAGTGACTTCAGACTTCAGCCAAGGTGTCAGGCTATCTATCTACATACCATGTTTCTAGGAACACACTGCAAACAGGAGCCTCTCTGACTAATATGGCAGGAGCACAGACATATGAACATAACCATATTTTAAAAACTACTTAGACAAGAATGTCAGGTCCACTTAGAAAAAAGATACCAATAGCTTGTGGAGATGAGTCTCTCTCTCTCTCTCTCTCTCTCTCTCTCTCTCTCTCTCTCTCTGTGTGTGTGTGTGTGTGTGTGTGTGTGTGCTGAAATGATAATTTAAAAGCAAAATGAGCAGTGATTACAGATCTCTCCAAAATAAAGTTATTCAATAACTCATTGTTGGAAATTGAAAGAAAACTTTGTATGTATTCCAAGTTGATATGTAGACATCAACTTTAGCTTACTGAAATATGATATAAGACCAGTGTCTATTGCTTTAAATATTCATTGTAGGTATATTAAAAAACAACATGTTAAATCTAAGAGTTCTTTATCTGTGTTCAGAAAGCATCAACATGGGCAAATTATACTTCTTACATAAATCTATAGTTTGAGTATACTTCAACAAAATTAAACAACAAATCAAATGCTCTATGTGGAGTCATGCCTTACACCAATGCTTAAGTCATTTAATCTCATACCTGCCTCTTTCTCTTCTACTTTGGCTGCCATGAACTAAGCTACTCTTTTGTCTGCCTTCTTTTTCCTGTTACATTTAGGCTTGCTGCTCTAATGCATCAACTCAGCCAGAAGACAGACCATTAAGAGTCAGCCCTGCATGCAACCAAGACAAAGGACATCCTCCTTGGATGTCTTGTGGGACACGGTGGCTATGAGTGAGGCTGGGGCACACACAAGTATAAGTCATCAGCACCTCTGGCTGGAGATGTTGATCATTCTTTCAACATGGCCCTTGAATGGGCATGCTCAACACACCAGCCTCCCAGAAGTAGTGATACCCTTACGGGTCACAGGCAACAGAACAATGTGGGCTATGGGATGGCTGACCTATAGCCTGCACTTTGGGGGCCAGAGGCATGTTATCTACATGAAAGCCAACAAGTTTTTCATGTCTAGACACCTCTCTGTGTTCACCTACACTGAGCAAGGTGCTCTACACAAAGAGCAGCCTTTTGTCCAGAAAGATTGCTACTACAATGGCTATATGGATGGAGACCCAGAATCCATGGTTGCTCTTACCACCTGTTTGGGGGGCTTTCATGGAATGTTACAGATAAATGAGACAGTATATGAAATTAAGCCCAAGAATCTTTCTTCCATATTTGAACATTTGGTTTACAAGATAGACAATGAGGAGACACAATTACTCCCCATGAGATGCGCATTAACAGAAGAGAAGATAGCCCTGCAAATGAAGCTTCAAGAGACTGATAACCACACACTGATGCAAAGCAGCTATGAGGGCTGGTGGACCCACAAGCGTTTTCTTGACCTGGTATTGGTCGTAGACCATGAGCGAATTCGTTATCTGAATGGCAATCTGTCACATGTGTTACGGGAAATATTGATCATTGTGCATGTAATAAATGAGGTTTATCGTCCACTGGATGTTGAGGTAGTTTTACTCGGAGTTGAGATGTGGAATAAAAAAAACCAAGTGGCAGTGACTACCATAGAAGACCTCCTGGATGGTTTTTGTTATTGGAAAACTCTTAGCCTTAATAATCGTATTCAAAATGACATTGCACATCTTTTTGTGAAACATGATTTTGGTATGTATCTTGGCTTAGCCTATGTTGGATCTGTTTGTGTGCCATTTGTTAATTGTGGAGTTGATCGTCTGATAGGACGAAATCTTGTTCATTTTGGACATATTACAGCACATGAAATGGGTCATAATTTGGGTATGATGCATGATGAGGAAACATGTACATGTGGAAAGCAAGCATGCTTAATGGCTCCAACAGACAATGCTTCCCGGAAATTCAGTAACTGCAGTTATGCTTCATTTTTGAGAACTTATGCTATTGCCAAGTGTCTGCACAAGGAAAAGAAACCAGTTAGCAACTACAAATTAAAGTACTGTGGGAATGGTGTGGTTGACGATGGAGAGCAGTGTGATTGTGGATCTTCAGAAATGTGTACAAAAGATTCATGTTGTAGGAATGATTGTACCTTCAAATATGGATCTGCCTGTGCTTTTGGGCTTTGCTGCAAAGATTGCAAGATCATGCCATTAGGCACAATGTGCAGAGAACCGGCCAATGAATGTGACCTTCCAGAATGGTGTGATGGACATTCACATGAGTGCCCTAATGATGTTTATTTGCTTGATGGGAGCTCCTGTAAAGATGGTGGCTACTGCTTTGAAAAGAGATGTAATAGCCGAGATGAACAGTGCCAGCAAATCTTTGGCAAAGAAGCCAGGAGTGCAGCTCAGAGTTGCTACAGGGAAATCAACACCCAAGGAGACCGTTTTGGCAACTGTGGTATATTCAGAAGTACATACCTAAGATGTAAGGACTCAGACATCCTCTGTGGGAGAGTTCAGTGTGAGAATGTAAAAGCTATTCCTACTTTGGAAGGACATTCCACTGTCCACTGGATTCACCTCAATGGTGTCACCTGTTGGGGAACTGACTACCATTTTGGGATGACAATACCTGACATTGGCCATGTGAAAGATGGCACAGACTGTGGTCCAGAGCATGTGTGCATTGATAGGAAGTGTGTCAATAAGTCATTTTGGGTAAGTGATTGTTCACCAAAGACATGCAATATGAAAGGGGTCTGCAATAATTTACGCCATTGCCACTGCAACCTTGGGTGGGAACCACCATTTTGCCTGACACATGGCTTTGGGGGGAGTATTGACAGTGGCCCTTTTTCTGGGAAAAGAAAGACTCACATGAAAATTATCATGACTGTAACTATTTTGACCTTCCTTCTTGTTTTTTCAGCCTTTGTGTTAAAAGTGTTAAAAGTTGTTTGGGATACTTATAAAAGATCTCCTAGGAAGGATGAATCCAGTGTTCCTTCTTCAGATGATAAATAATCATCCAGTGATGTCAGCACTTAAGGCAGAATAGAAAGATTTAATAATTTCAAAAGTTATGTCGTCTTCCTAAATTTCCCATGACTTACCCTGTATTATCTTGGCCCCTGAAGCATCATTTGTTTAAGAATTCACTGGAACAAAAGCACAGATATATCTAATATTTCAGTATCAAAACATTGATACTGAATAGCATTCAATAAAAGTATAGTCCTATTGCTCAGCTGATGTTTCTTCACTTCATGCCGTCTTACAGTCTTCTCAGTGAAGACCCACCTGAGGGATCCTGCATGTGCCTGCTTGCTTTTGCCTCTCTCACTTCCAGACCACCTCCCCTTTTAATGCTGCTTGTCACATAGAGAACAGGATTCTCTGGATCCTGTTTGCTCTCTGGGAGTCCTCCCTAGTGGACTCTTCCCACAGGGGAGTCATGGAGATTGGAAACCTGTGGGAACTGTTTCAGTGAAGTTCCTGTCCATGTTGCCTCAGTGGCAGTTCTCACCTGTGTGTGACATCAGAAGATTTCCTTAGGCCCTTGATTATAGGATGTGGCCTACATCCAGTGTGTATCCATAGAAAATGTTGCCCTTGGTCACATTGGACAGACATTTATACATTAGAACCTGTACCATGGAGGGGTCTGCAGCAGTAGATGTCACTGCTTTTATAGCTTCTGACTGAGTGTACTCCATGGTGGCTGAAAAGTGGTGTTGATAGTGCTCCTAGAGCAGACAGTGGTTGGTACTAGCTCTCTGAAGCAACAGCACTTTCATTCCCAGAGATACAAACCAACTCCTGAGCAACCTGCCTTCAACACGCTGAGTCCTGACTGGTCTTTGAACTTTTCCTGAATCACAAGGATCCAGCACCAATTTACCAAAACCCTCTTGAGACACTGGGGTCCCACAACCAGGAAACTCACTACCAGTCTCTGCCTGAATATCCTCAGTCTCTTCATGGTGATCTCCAGTTCGGAGGTGGTCCCTACATCATGTAGTTTGCAATATATGGATATCTTAGGACATAGTATTTTATGTCTGAATGCTGAGTGATATAAAACATTCCTTGGTACAACAGAGAACATAGTAAGAAGATAGATATCAGAAAAGAGCTAAATTATCAGTATTAAATATTGCAACCTTGAGATTTTGCTTTGCATTTTGCATTTAGAATATCATAAAAAAGAATATCATAAAGCCTCTAAATAGAAGATACTATCACTAGCAACTCAAACATATTGCAATGTTTTACATTTCTGAGAGTCACATTTTTATGATATTTTTTCTTCCTCCAGCTCCTCTCAGGTCCTCCCTACCTCCCTACCCACCCAAATTTATGATCTTTTTCTCTTTCTTTTTTTCACTTTCCTTTTAAAATTTAAAGTAAAAACCATCTTATTTTATTTATCAATTCCAGTTTCCTCTCCCTCCCATTTTCCCATGCTCCCCATTGACCTCCATTCCATCCCTCTTCTGTGCCATGAAAGGGTGAGGCCTTCCATGGGGGATCATCAAAGTCGGTTGCATCATTTGGGGCAGGGCCTAGCCACGCCCCCCACCCCAGTGTGTCTAGGCTGGGAGAGTATCCCTCTATGGGGAATGGGTTCCCAGTGTCTATTTGTACTCTAGGTATAAATAAACAAACCAAGAAAAACCCTATAAAATTGAAATCAAACAAACAAATGATCAATAAGTCAAAAAGTGCCCAAACACAGCAAAACATTAAAAAACAAAACAAAACTCCAAATATGTCAAGTTTGTTTTGTGTTGGTCAGCTATCCCTGAGCATTGGGTCTACCTGAAATTAATATAACTGTGAGACTCTATTGGAAAAAATAATTTTTTCATCTTCCAGGGGGTATCAATTGCATATGGCTACTTGGTTAGCAGTGGGAGCCCTTGTTAGTTCCCCTTCTTAATGCTGGTAACCTGTCTAGTGTGAACCTCTTGCAGGGCCTTGTGCATGCTGCCAGTTTCTATCAGCTCATTTGTTGCATATAGAAGATACTATTTCCTTGAAGTCATATATCCCTTCTGGCTCTTAAAATGGCCCCACTGCCTCTTCTACATAGATCTCTAAGCTTTAGGGGAAGGCTTTGATGACACTATCTCATTTAGGAAAGGAGTGTGTTGTAGAATATTAATGTAAGGTGTGCTATTTTTATTTATGCTCTAACATTTGTTTAATCATGCAAATATGTGTTCGATTAGATAAAATTCACCTGTTGGGTGAATTAAATAAAATTCAACTAGCTGACAGGAAGTTGTAGGGAGGAGCCAGGTGGAAAAGGGTTCTATAAGAAAAAGAGACTCCGATAGGCCTGAGCGAGTCACTAATCTTTGGTTATAGCAGTGTATCATTAGCAATCTTGGTATTGCTATGTTCCTTTAGCAGAATAATAATATTAGGTTTCCCCCTAGGCCCATGACCTATCTAGACTCAGATTCTTGGCACTTTTTCATTGTCAGATATCGCTTCCATCTTATAGAGTGGGCCTTAAATCAACTCAGAAACTGTCTGGTTACTCCCATAAGAGTTGCGCCACTAATGGGTCAGTGTATCTTGCCAGTAGGTTTCTGTTGTAGGTTACAGACTTCTAGGAGTTATTGATGATTACCTTTTACCTCAAGTAGCATTCAGAGATCCTTCCAGTACCATAGAGACTAGTCAGTAGGGTGAAACTAATAATTAGACACCTGGACAATTTCTTCTTGTTTGATGACATGTAAGTATAAAGTTCACAGATAGTGCCTGAGACCTCCCAAGCCATGGCCCACATTATCATACCATGGAAAATGTCATGAAATTCCTCCTGTGGAACAGGCTTCATATCCAATAAGAAGTCAGTTGGGTGCCCCCAATTAGAGTTTTGTCATTTACAAGCAAACACATCTTTCCTGGCAAGTTGTGATTATAGCATTCAAGTTTCAAAACTGGGAAAGGCCATGGCTGATTTTTCTCCCCACTTCAGGAATAGCAGCTAGCAGGGAGAGAAAACGCTTCCAGGTCAGTCCCCAAAAAGGTTTCTCTGTGTTTTGCAATCAACATGCTGCTATCTTCAGCAATAGCAATAGGGTTTTAACATCTAGTTCTTGCAGGCAGCCAAAGGCAATGGCTGCAACCTGTATACTCTTGTGGACCTTAGGCCAACAACTCTTAGGGAGGCAGTGAATACTTGGCCTTAGGATTTTCATTTAATAACTCCTGACTTGCAGAGTCAGTATTATCTGCCCATGAATGAATGGTAAATAGAAACTTATTTTCTTGTATATAATTTTTTAAAAAGGTTTGAATGAATCCTATTTTTTTTTTAGACTGGGTTTCTCTGTGGCTTTGGAGGCTGTCCTGGAACTAGCTCTTGTAGACCAGGCTGGTCTCAAACTCACAGAGATCCACCTGCCTCTGCCTCCTGAGTGCTGGGATTAAAGTTGTGTGCCACCACTGCCCAGCGAATGAATTTTAACTTTTAATGCAGTCAGATAGTCTGTATACAGATAACTGGGACAGCTTCAGGCCAAGTTGCAGTATGTTCATGACAGCTTGAAGCTTGTACAGTATACTTTTATGGCCAGCATGACAGAGAGGGCTGGAGTTTGGGTGCATGTGCTCTTTATCACTGGCCTTTCCATGTTTTGAACACTTGTTCTAATCTCTTCTCTTCCATTTCTGATTTTGAATCATTTCACTTTTCTCCCTCAATTTAGCTAAGACTTTATGTGTCATCTAACTTAAAAACTAAAAGAAAGAATACTGTTTCATTGGTTCTTTTTTCTCCTCTGTTTTTCCTGTGGTTTTTTTTGTGTGTGTGTATACAATTTTTTTCTCTTCTACTAATTTTGGACTTAGTTTGTTCCCTGTTTTCCAGTTCTTTTAAATACAAAATCTTATGGCTTATCTTGGGTGATTATATTCAGTGTAGTCTTTTTTCAATTTTATTACAGGATGCCTTGATTTAAACTTTAAAAATTTAATTCTATGTAGGGTCCTTTGCACTATGTAAGCCAGAATATCTATTTTTCTTTCTAGATTTGAGAATCTTTTAGTCATGATTCCTTTTTTTTTCTTTTTGGTTTTTGGAGATAGAGTTTCTCAGTGTAGCATTGGAGCCTGTCTTGGAACTTACTCTGGAAACCAGACTGTCCCTGAACTCATAGAGATCTGCCTGCCTCTGCCTCCCAAATGCTGGGACTAAAGGTGTGCACCACTACCACGTGGCCATTCCTTATAATATTTGATATAACATGGGTTCTAAGTTTATATAATAGAACAGTTATAAATAAAATACAAAATAAGCTTGTCTGTGTTATTGATACAGCAATCGATTCTTACATTATCTGATGTTGATTATCCCCTGATAGTGAAAACATAATTTTTAAAGAAATGGATACTTAACAGTTATTATTCACTAGACTAGTCTTGTTCGAAGGCTTCTTTCTATTTTCTGTGTCTTGTGTTTAGAAAAGTTTGATTTATTGTTATATCTGTAGTTATTGTTGTTATATATTCAGGAAAGTTCTGCTAGACAAAGGGTACTTAATAGAAGTTTGTGAAATGGCGGGCACGGTGGCATGAACTTCCATAGTATCAGTTCCTCAGAAGGTTGATCACCATTTGAGCCCAGGAGTTTAAGACCAGCCTGGGTGACTTAGCAAGATTTTATCTTAGACACAGCAATCTCATGGCTATAAACATATCATTTCTGGTAGAGTTCTTACCTTCTATGCATTGTGACTTGGGTTTGATCCTCAATACCACATAAACCAGCACTCAGGAGGTAAGGGCAAGAATATCAACAGTTAAATGTCATTTATGTTTACATAGCAAGTTCAAGGCCATCCCAATACATGAGACCCTGACTCAGTAAAAAGTAACAACAAACAAATAAATGCTTGTTTAATGAATAATCAGAAGCAACTTTCAATGGATAGTCATAAATCTTAACTGCCCTCCAATCTGTGGGACCCCTCAATATAAATTTTTTGGATGACTACTCCAGGCTA